GTTATAGAAAAATAAATTTAATTGTTGAAATTTAATGTTACTTTGAAAAATGTAACATCCTTATTTATTTAATATAATAGGAAAAATAATTTGAGTTGAAAAGAAAAATTAAATTAAATACTAACATATTTATATAATGCGTAGATATATAAATATTTCATTTAATTTATTCATATTTATACAAAAGTTTAAATGACAAAGTAATGGAAATTAAACAAACTTAAGTGAAAAGTTAAAATAACATTAATATACATTATTTTTATAAATTTACAAGAAGTCAACATTACAAAATATAACTTCAAAATACATTAGAACTCGTCCACATCATTTACAAAATATAAAAATATGACAAGTCCTAATGAGCAATCTATCTACCAATGGACTGAAGACATTACTAGTCATCATCCCTAAACTACCCTTCTATCTCTACTATTTTTTCTGGAGATAAGTCTTTGTCTTCACCAAGGTCACCCTCGTCAACTACCAGTTCAAAGCCCGTAATCTGCTCGACAGTACAATGACTTGGTCTCCCATGCTGATCATGGTCCAGAAAAGTATACACATAATTCCTGCATTTGGTGGCATAATCAAACCTCAGTATATAACTATGCATACAATATGGTGGATTCTACCACTGTCAGGGTAATCTAAGGATACATCATATCCTATAGTCATTTCTAAGGTAAATATAATACTAGAACCATCATTATTACGTACAATAAAACTACAATGACATAACTGCTGTCAATTTATAGCTACATGATCTATTCTAATAAGTATCGAAGATAAACTAACAAGTCCCTGTGGTTTGTCATCTTTATTTCTTGAAAAGTTATGTAAAGATGAACATCTCTTCTCATTACCAAACATGAATTTACATTTAAATCAAACAATACAAGCAAGGATACTACATTAATCAATCACACAGTACAATCATATTCATATAATTATCAATTATTTAATTTATCACAGTTCCTTTCTACTAATTCTTGGAGTTCTCGCTTTATAATTTCACTACCCTTGGGATCTCTTGAGGTCTTCCTTAGCATAAATAGTTACTGGATAATTGAAGCTACACGGATACAATGTGTTTCGACCTGGCCCTTTTTAGCAAAAGCATGGTCAGGAGTTTAGGTCAGGAATTGAGTGTAAGGGTGTGGTGCTCATACTTTCAGTTGTTATGTGTAATTCAAGAAGAGAAATCACCACTTTCATTTTCTTAAGATTTCTCAAATTGTCTCTATCTTTCACACTCCTAGTGTATCTTTGAACTATCCATAATTGTCTTTATTATGTTCTTTTCTCATTCCATTTCTTTTTTCATATCTCTCATATCATTTCTATGTTTTTCATAATGAGACCTCATACATACATTTTTTTCAATACACATACCATTTCAATTCATCAAGAACAAAAAAAACTTATGTTAACATCAAAATTATTTAGACATATATTCACAAACAAGGACACATAGCCAAATCCATACAAGTACAACAAATCATGTTTTCAGTAACGGAATAAAGCTCTCCTTACCTCAATGGACAAGTTTAGTGAAGAAGTTAATGGAAAGGGTGATCCAATAAGCTAAGATTTTCTTACACCTTATTGAAAAGAGTTCTATTTGAGAAAAGAGAAAACAAAGATGGAAATGAAGAATCAAGCTTTAAGATACTCACCAATGATTTCGTAGAGTCGAGGTTCAAACTTGGATTTGAAGTAACTTTGAAGTTTCTAAGGCTTTTCTCTAGAGGAAGGAAGAGAGAGTTCAGAGAAAAAGAGTTAAAAAATGTTTCTTAAATTGTGATGTAAGTCTCAGGTTTAAAATCTCTTTAAATACCTCTTGAACCTTGCGCGCTCTCGCTTGAGCGAGCAGATTCTTGCTTGGACATGCTCCATCTCGCTTAGGTGAGATATGTATACAGTGGTCTCCCCAACTATTTTTTGATATTCTCACTTGAGCAACCTCAATCTATCCTGAGTGAGACGATGTCTAGAGAGTTATACATTTTTCTTGTAAGTCCTCGCCTGAGCAACTCATCTCGCCTAGACGAGTTGACAATTGAGCTAAGTTTATCTCATTCTCGCTTGAGCAAGACTCATTTGGCTTAAGCGAGAATGTCCTGAAATCTTATGATTCTGGGTGCTCAGTCTCGCTTGAATGAGACCTATCTCGCCTAAGAGAGATCCGCTACATCAAACTTTTATCAAAATACTCATAACTCATTCCCAAACGCATTCTAACACTATATAATATCAAACAATTTACCAATTAAATAACTAATGAAGAAGAGAGTGTTACATAAAACATAAAATTTACCTTGTATAATATAAATTTAGTGATAAAATATAAAAGTTAACTTGCAAAATGTGAAAATTTGTTTTGTAAATATACAAGTTAGCGTTGCAGAATAAATAAGTTAGTATTGTAACATAAAGTTAGTAACATGTGTAAAGTTTATGACAAAAGTGTAAAAGATAATGGTAAGGTATCAATATACTTAAGTTAATGACAAAAAATTAGTAGAAAAATATAAAGTTAGTAACATATACTTATAATAGGTACTCCTGTATACATGTACAATAGTAGTATATGACTTATTCTTTCATGATTTTTTGGTTAAGAAGTGTTCCTATGGAACATTCTACATTTTTTAGCTACTTTGGATAAAGTTTTGACTTCTATTTAACTTTAACCTTATTCCTTCTTATCCTCACGGTTAATATTTATTCCTTCATTAATATTTTAAACTTAAATTATTATCCACTTTGATTGCTTATTCATGTAGTATTCTATTAATCATTTCATCAATTTCGTTAAATTGAATATTATTATTTTAAACTCATTTTGTACGAATCCTTCTTTTGTCCTTTACAAATTTATCTAAAATTTTTATATTAAATCCCTTATTTAATCTTTAAAATTATTATCATTGGATAGTTTAGTTATAGAAATTTTAAAATATTTTTAATAGTTCCTAATATTTATTTTTGTATATTAATTTATTCCTTCTATCATTAAAAAATATTAATGAAATATTAAGATGTTATATTAAGTGACTTGTATAATTGATTGTGTTACAAAAATAATATTATAAATACTAAATAGTGTGATATATATATATATATATATATATATATATATATATATATATATATTATTAAAGTCTTCTAGATTCTTAGTACATTTTATTTACCTATCTTTTTTCTTTTTCGTCAAGATTAAACACTAATAAAAGATCTTTTAAGAAACACATATTCCTTTATGATTAGACTAGAGCGTAGAGAGTCTTAATTTATTTTTAATTAGGCCTTTTTCTAACTTCTTTAACAGTTATTACTTCCATGGTAACTCAACACATGCACACTTTACCTTATATGCATTAATAGTGCAACACATTTAAATCATTTTGTTGATATATATATATATATATATATATAGGGACAAGATCTTCTTACACCAATGTAAGTCTAAAAACTCTCATAAATTTGAGCCTTTCAATTAACTTAAATCTAATGAGTTATAATTTATTACTTCACTGGCCATTAGATTTAAGTTAAATGAAAGACTCAGATTAGGTGTAAGAGTTTTTAGACTTACACTAATATAAGAAGATTCTTCTCCATATATATATATATATCATAATTAATCTAATTTTTATTAATATATTATATTTGATTAGTTTTTATAATTATGCAAAATTTTCAAGTTTTATATTTTCAATCTTTACAATGTATTTTGATGTTTCATCATATATGTGCATTACACGTGCTACTAAATTAGTTGAGAATAGTGTAAATTACACATTTTTTTTATAATTTCTTTTTATTCACAACATTATTAATTTTATTTTAAAATTTGAAAATTAAATTTGTTACTTAACTTTTTCTTATTATCTAATATAATTTTTAAATTTTTATAAAATACATATTTTTACATTTATAAAAATTATTTTAATTATTTCTATTTTTCAAATTTAAAATTGAATTTTATCTCTTAAATTATAATTTAATATATATTAAATATTGACATTTAATTAACCTTTTCTTTTGATTCTATAGGATAAAAGTATTATTTTAAAATAAATAATATTTTAAATTATTTAATTTTAATAATTTAATTATTTTATTACATATTATTTGCTAATATTGAATTAAGTAAAAATAATATTTTAAAATTATTTTAAAATAATTTATATATGTGTAATTTTGTATATATAATTATTTACAATTTTAATCATTTTTAAACTAAAATATTATTTAGAGATATCTTAAATGACTATGTCTTTGAGATTATCTTAGGTGGTTTCATATGTATTCAACATCTATCTCTTTTAATTAATGAGTTATTATGTATTATATAGCATTGTTAAACTAAAATATGTTTTGAAATAAAAAATATATTACATGGTAATTTTGAAATTTAATAAATAATTTATTATATAAAAAATAAAATTAAAAAAGTATTTTTTGATTAAAAATTATAAAAATTGAACAATTAATACAAGAAAAATTACATAATATAATAATAAAAAATAATTTCAAAAATATTTTGTTCAAAATAAATTTTTAAAAAATATTATTTAAAAACTAGTGCTCCCATTTGTATATATATATTTTTTCTATTACAGGAGCTCACATTGTATGTAATAATGAAAATTTATTTCCTAATCTTAAAATTTATATTTATATTTTTATTATTTAATATAACCAAATATTAATCAATTATATAATTTTTAGTTATAAAAGTATTTTAATTTAATAATATTTACGGAATATATAAAAATTGAATACTTTAAAGTTTTTTGAAAAAAACTGTTACTACTGTTGGACCATGCTATTATTCCATGAGTTTAATTTGCACGCGCCTGATGCACGCAATAGTTTAAAGCATTAAATCTGTGAGCGGGAAATGACAAGAGAAAATAAAAGAATAGAATATGATTAATTTTTATAAGAGATAAAAAAAAGAAAAGGAGAAGAGTAAGTAGAAGTTACGCGACACGTGCGAGGGTTGAGGAGAGTCGGATTGGGAAGCCAAGGGAACAGAGTGGGTTGGGAAACCCTAAGCTTCACGCATTTGGGGAAGGTCCTTCCTCCACTCGCTCATGCTCGTCGCGTGACCTAACCTTTCTTTCTTTCTTTCTCTCTCTCTCAGATCATCACCACCGTTATCAATCGTTCCTTTCCTTTCAGGTACTCTCTCTAATCATCACGCACTCCAACCTCTCTTCTCTTCGATTTGTTTCTTTAGTTATCCTCATTTGGCGTTTTCTTTGGTGCCTTGCGATCATTAATGATTCACTCACTTGCTAGATATTGGAGTTGAAAACGCGTGTCACATGATAAGCACAATGAAGTAGAATTTGGATTGTAATTGGAAACTGTTTTTGTGCTGTGGGTTTTGGTGCAAGTTTGTTGGGGAGTAGTTTATACCAGGTGGCAGTGTACTGCAACTTCTTGATTTATGGTGTTTGAATTGCTACGTTTAATTTAACCGTTTCTTTTAAATGAAACCCCTCAAAGTTAACTGAATGAGATGGCGTGTTTTTCCAATTTTTTGGTTTGGTTTTTAGAGTTAGTTTACTTATGCTTTGTGTTTCTGTTTGACTTTTGATACTGAACTAAAAAATTAAAATTTAAGTAATGTAGGAATTTTTGGTTAAAAAAGTTTTAGAGATTAAACCCTTTATGAGGTTTCCTGAAGTGATGGTTCACTGTTGGAGAGAATATTAAACTGTCTTAGCATTGGCAGTGGAGCTAAGGCATTTCTGGCTTTCTCTGACGCTGTTTTCATACTGTCCATCTCTGGCTGTTGTTTTTCTTGAATCATGATAACCAAGTCTTTTCAACTTCTTGCTTTTGGGAGGTATGTGTTATTTTCACTGTAAATCTTGGAATGAGGAACTTGAGACCAACAAGATAATAATCTAAACTCATCTTGTTGCCATGCTTGACAGATGTACATCATTTATCTTCCCCTGTGTTCTTGGTATCTCATGTTTCTGAATTAATGGGCGATATATCTTTTTGTCTAAAGGCAATGATTGTATAGTTCCTTAAAGAGAGGATCAGACAAAAGGGTGGAGGCAATTGATGTGAAGGGTCCAAAATCTGGTTAATTTCATTTTGTTCTCTTTTGCCAAAATCCTACAATGTAGATGTTAGTTGTTTTTCTTTCCTTTTCTTTTTATGTGGTAATCTGTTCATTTTGTTGGTAGTAATTATATGCAAATGAGGTGGATTGATTTTCAACTCTTGGGTTCTTGCGCATCGATAAACTTCATGGGAGTGGAAATACAATTCCCCATAAAATTTTAGTATGTGTTTTGGCTGTTGTTGGATCTTGATTATAGATGCTTCATTCTTTTTTAATGTCCTTTGATATGGGAAAACTAATTTTGGTTTGTAGGGACCACCATTTTAAGTTGTGTATATATGCAGAGTATTAGTTACCAACTCAAATGCTAATAATGGGCCTTTTTCTTGTGCTCTCTTTTGTCATTTTACCTTGAATTTTCCTCTTATTCTCTGTGGAAGAAGAAATTTCAACGGAGGTTAAGAAAAATTGTGTATTTATTCTGTTTACCACATCCTTTTTAATTCACTAATGAAAACCATAAACAAAGATAGCAGATACAATAAAGCCATTCATACCCTTCTGTTCTAGTAACAGGGACATGTTCTGAATGAAGCAAGCAAACAATTTTAGTCCTTTGACAATGGCTAAGAGTCCTAAGACAAACTTGCTCTTATATATGCAGGTATTTTGCTCCAGAACAAATGCCCCAAATCCTAATGTAAATGTTATATGGTATATGTACATCACCACAGAACCTTTCTTTGGTTAAGGTTCTTAAAATCCTTAAAATTTAAAACTAGTTATTGAAAATTTCTCATTATTTTGAGATCAAACCCAGTATTCTCCAAAGGATCCTGAAAGCTTTTCTAAGATACAACTGGCATCAAGTCAATTCAAGAAGTACGAACAAGTGAGATGTGTTTTCACAATATGTGCAACATATAATGCTGTGTAATATCCACCTCACTTAAATCTTAGCAATTATATAGTAGATTTACCAACATTAGCACTGTCAATAGGATAGAAGAGGAATGTCATCTGAAGGGTCTCTCCCTAATCTGTATCCATTTTTGTTGGATAAGTTATGGCCTTTCTTTGTTGCTTTACTCTTTGCTTGTGGAAAAGGTTTTTCTATTATCAATGTGGGAAGACTGGATAGCTTAGTAACTTGTTGCATGCTTGAGCTAGTTGCTAAAATCTTTTCTTTTCTTCACTTTCTTTTCCCTGTTATTAGGTCTTCGTATTCTCCCCAGAAATGCCTTCTCTTCTCTTCTTTTGTTTTGTTTTTCCTTCTAATTTAGTATGCTTTATCTTTAAGAAAAAACACGAGAGCAACATTTCATATAACCACTTTTGTTCAACTACATTAAAGATACGGCAGCCTGGTGATATAAATCCCCCACTATGCACAGGGTTAACGGAAGGGATGGTTCTATTATGTGAGTCTATGGCAGGCAACCTTGCTGTTGCAAAAGATTGAATGCTTCACTGAAATCTATGAACATGAAGTCCCACAGCAACAGCATGAATGATTACACTTGGGCTCCCATTTTCTCTGATATTTATCAAAGTAAAATAAAAGTATAGTTTTATTTGCACTAATGGTATTCCTGTTATGACTAAAGAATATTATTGGCTGTTTCTGGATGTTCTCATTATCTAATTAATCATTCTTGGCATGATTCCTCCCATAGCTGTATGGGGTTTGTGCCCCATGCTACTCTCCTACTTTCTATTATTTGATCAAGTTATGCTTTTGTTTACTATATAGTAAACTTCCTTTTTCAGGAGGATAGAGAAATTTCCTAGGCAAAAAAAAGACACATACAGACACTAGTTCAAAAGATCTCTTTAATCTCTGCATATCAGATAAAGAAACACCCTAAAGAAGGCATGGATAGAATCTTGGACTTTATAAGTACATGTTGTAAATCTGTTTTTTCGGATTGTAACTGTACAAAAGGGGAGATGTTTCCTGGTATAACAGCTCTTTAGAAATCAAAGGCTAAAATTCTTACATTTGGACGTCAATGCACAATATGATTGATACAAATGAATTTTTACAGAGCCCCAGGTCTGATATGTCCCTTTCCCCTTATGTTTATATTGTGCTCTGCTTTTACTGAGACTAGTAATCATCCTTCTCTACCCTTGTGTTCATGATAGAGTTAAATGAGAGATAGCCTGAATCACAAGTAATACCTGAAACATTCCTCCATTTCATCCAGCCAGCTTGAATTTAGATATTCTTTCTTCATTACTCTATGATATATCTTCTTGCTTGACTTGTGGTATTATCTCCAAATTTTGCCAGCAAGATGGTGCTAGCTCATGTCACTGAGCTTGCATTCCATGTATGTACTTTCTGTAAAAGTTCATGTCATAAACCTTAGGAAAGGGTTGCAACACTATCATGTAGCAGAAGTAGTGAAGTACACTAGTTTGAGGTTTAATCCCTCTTTTATCTTCAGCGACCTTTATCACCTGTCACTGTAACCATCATGTTTCTGCCCTCATGTTTTCTTCGCTTTGTTCAACTTAAGAAATTGTGCAGGAAAAAATGGCTTGATTTCTGTGGCAACCTTTGTTTGCAGTTTGCAAGATCCTAATTGGAGAATTTGGGACTCTCTGTATAAATTGCCTTGCGTCTTAAAACTTGCAGAATTAGGTTTTCCCCTCTTCTGTTATACTTATATGTTAAATTTTCTTGTCATGATCTATATTACTTTCTTCAGTTCCTAGAAAACACATTCACATTGAGAGGTAACATATATATTACTGAGGTGGAACTACTTTACTACTTGTAGGCTTGACATAATATCTTTTCTTTATATTTTTCAGTACCCTTGAAATCATCAAGCAGAAATCCGTATTCGTCATGGATATAGATCTTCGGTTACCTTCTGGTGAACATGATAAAGAGGATGAAGAAACAACTACAATTGATAAATTGTTGGACAGTGAAGAAAAGATGCATAATGGAGGTATAGATGGCAGAAATATAGTTGATACTGGTATTGAGGTTCATGCTCTAAATGGAGGAGATTTGAATTCACCAACAGTTGATATGGTAGTGTTTAAGGAAGATACAAATCTTGAGCCACTTTCTGGCATGGAATTCGAGTCTCACGGGGAAGCTTATTCTTTCTACCAAGAATATGCTCGGTCAATGGGATTCAACACTGCTATACAAAATAGTCGCCGTTCAAAAACATCAAGAGAATTTATAGATGCAAAGTTTGCTTGTTCCAGATATGGAACAAAACGTGAGTATGATAAATCATTCAATCGACCACGTGCACGACAAAACAAACAAGATTCTGAAAATTCAACTGGTAGAAGGTCTTGCTCCAAGACTGATTGTAAAGCAAGCATGCATGTAAAAAGAAGGCCAGATGGAAAATGGGTTATACACAGCTTCGTGAGGGAGCATAATCATGAACTTTTACCAGCCCAAGCAGTCAGTGAACAAACAAGAAGAATGTATGCTGCGATGGCTAGGCAGTTTGCTGAATACAAAACTGTTGTTGGTCTCAAGAATGAGAAGAATCCGTTTGATAAAGGTCGGAATTTGGGCCTGGAGTCAGTGGAGGCTAAACTCATGCTTGATTTTTTCATACAGATGCAAAACATGAATTCTAACTTCTTTTATGCAGTAGATCTTGGTGAGGATCAACGCCTGAAAAATCTTTTATGGATTGATGCCAAAAGTAGGCATGACTACATCAACTTTTGCGATGTAGTATCATTTGACACCACCTATGTTAGAAACAAATATAAGATGCCTCTTGCACTTTTTGTTGGAGTGAACCAGCACTACCAATTTATATTACTTGGGTGTGCCTTGATATCAGATGAAAGTGCCGCCACCTTTTCTTGGCTATTACGGACGTGGCTGAAAGGAGTTGGTGGTCAAGTTCCAAAAGTGATAATTACTGACCACGACAAGACTTTGAAGTCAGTTATTTCAGATATCTTTCCTAGTGCTTGTCATTGTGTTTCCTTATGGCATATATTTGGGAAGGTATCTGAAAATTTGGGTCCTGTAATTAAAAAGCATGAGAATTTTATGGCAAAATTTGAAAAATGCATACATAGGTCCTTGACCAGTGATGATTTTGAGAAAAGATGGTGGAAAATTATTGATAGGTTTGAACTTCGAGAGGATGAATGCATGCAGTCATTGTATGAAGATCGTAAGTTATGGGCACCAACATTAATGAAGGATGTTTTCTTAGGTGGTATGTCTACTGTCCATCGATCTGAAAGTGTAAATTCATTCTTTGACAAATATGTTCATAAGAAGACTTCTGTCCAAGATTTTGTAAAACAGTATGAAGCAATCTTGCAAGACAGGTATGAAGAGGAAGCAAAAGCAGATTCTGATACTTGGAATAAAGTGGCAACATTGAAAACTCCTTCTCCTTTAGAGAAGAGTGTTGCAGGGATTTGCACACATGCTGTATTCAAGAAGATTCAAGCTGAGGTTGTAGGAGCAGTTGCTTGTCATCCTAAAGCTGACAGGCAGGATGATACAATTATTGTTCACCGGGTTCAGGATATGGAAACGAATAAAGACTTCTTTGTTGTGGTTAATGAAGTAAAGTCAGAGTTGTCGTGTATATGTCGGCTATTTGAATATAGAGGTTATCTTTGTCGACATGCATTGGTTGTTCTTCAATATTCTGGACATTCTGTGTTCCCATCTCAATATATTTTGAAACGGTGGACAAAAGACGCAAAGCTCCGGAATATAATGGGAGAAGAATCTGAACATATGCTGACTAGAGTGCAACGATACAATGATTTATGTCACCGAGCACTAAAACTGAGTGAAGAGGGATCGTTGTCTCAAGAGAGTTATAGTTTAGCATTCCATGCACTGCATGAAGCACACAAAAGTTGTGTGAGTGTTAACAATTCTAGTAAGTGTCCTACAGAACCTGGTACATCAGGCGCTCATGGTCAGCTTTCTACTGAAGAAGATACCCAAAGTAGAAATATGGGCAAGTCAAGCAAAAAGAAGAATCCAACTAAAAAGAAAAAGGTTGTTTGCAAGAACTTGACTTCTACACTTTATGTTTTTGCTATCATGACCTCCTCTTTGAACTGCAGGTGAACTCTGAAGCGGAAGTGATGACAGTTGGGGCACTCGACAACTTGCAACAAATGGTTTGTCCTCCTTTTCTTAGTTAACCTCTCAAAGGGTGTTTGATCGTAGAGTCTTAGGAACAAAAGGCCTGTAGCTGAAATACGGGCTTCATGTTGGGATTTATGAATTTATGTGAACCAGTAAGGGGAAAAAGTAATGAAGCATTACATGAGAATTCCAACTTAGTTAAATGGATACGTCTCTGCTTGCTTCAAGTAAACTGAACTTCAACTAAATGGAATGTTCTTTTGTAGGACAAATTCAGCACAAGAGCTGCAGTAACCCTTGAAGGTTATTATGGCACACAACAGAGCGTACAGGGGATGGTATGAATATGATATGCTGCAGTTCTGATGTTCGATTATTTATGATTAGTGAGTAAAATTAATATATTTTTTTTATTTGATGATTTAGTTGAATTTAATGGGACCAACACGTGATGATTACTATGGGAATCAACAGACACTTCAGGGGCTGGTGCGTGGAAGAAATTGTGATTAACTTTTTAAAAATATTTTTGACAGTGCAATAAACTAATGTTTTATTGGTGTAGGGACCAATAAGTTCGATACCAACCAGTCACGATGGTTATTATGGTGCACATCAGGGCATGGCTGGTCTGGTATGGTTCACTTAAGCTAAGAATAATTTTCTTTTCCTCTAAAAGTTTGATGAATTCTCATAAGGTCCAAACATACAGGCACAACTGGATTTTTTGCGAACTGGTTTCACGTATGGCATTCGGGTTAGTTTGGTATTTTGAAATCTTGGGTTGTACTATTTTCTTTCTGAAGAAAACTTTTGCAGTAGTAATGGCTTCTTCGTTGTGGCAGGATGATCCTAATGTGAGAGCAGCACAGTTGCATGAGGATCCATCAAGACATGCATAAGTTTCACTATCCTTTATAATAAGGTAGTTGATATTTTGTTGTGATTAAACGAGTAACTCGTTAAACATGAATAGTTGAAGCAGTGACTCAAATTTTTCATATTTATATAGGCTGGTGAAGCGACGGCTATGAGCTGATTATCCGTCGTTGAGAATTTGAGGTCATAATGGAAAAGCTCCAAATCCAGTATTTTGTAATATAATACTGCTACATTAATAATAACATAGGATAACTGTTAACGTCTATTATAAATATTAATAGATGTAAGCTTTTAGCGTTCAACCTCATGTGGAGATTGTTGTAATATATGCTTATTCTTTAGGCTACTTGAGAAATTGTAATTATGAAATATTTATGTTAGTAACGAAAGTATTAGCATGCTTTTCTCATTGCCATTAGTGCAAACGAGAGTAGAATCTCGTTCGTTTATAATTTCATTCTCTCCTTTTCTTACTACGGTGTTCCTAAAGTTAAAAAATAAAATTTGAAAAGAGAAAACCAAAAACTTACGAGGATGCCAAGTGTCAATTGTGCCCAACAGAAATGTCTAGACTAATGTCCTTCGAGTGAATCGAACAAGCCATTATTACATCTGGTTCAAGTTTCCATGGCTTCTTTCATCTTCTTAGACAAGCAAGAAAAAACATTGAGAGGGGGGCCGGAAGAAGGCGAAAAACAAAGACAAGTGTTTATAATATTGACCAGGAAAAAAAGGAAAGAAAAAGGAACGTGATAGAGATCGAAAGGGGCTAAAGGATCAAAATCAAAAAGTTAATAACTTCAAAGAAGCAAAGGTCTAGTTGAAGTAGTATAGTTGGTATGATTTATTTTGTGTGTGTGTGTTTAATCTTGTTTACATTTTTGTATTAATTTGAAATAAATAGTATAAAAGGACATCAAAACAGAGCTTATTGATTTGAAATTAATATTTTGATGGGTCTAGAATTTTATTTATTTTTATTTTTTTTGTATTGTGCATGATCTGATGAGATTGTTTTATTTTAGAAAATTTAAAAGTAACGTGAATTAAGGGTCAATTTAATGACGAGTATTATAAGATCAATCCATTTGCGATATGATTATACTGTTTGCATAAGCTTGTAGTAGTAATCTAAGAACTCTTTGGTTTAATGACATTATTTTACCATAATATTCTATGATTGATTACCTATATTGAGTGATTTTGGTAGAGAAGGATTATGTATTTGAAGCCTTGATTTGGTTTATTATTGTATTTGTAGTTTTGAAAAAAAAAAAAAAACTCAGATAGGAAAAGTAATATATTTTTCTGGCCTTAATAAGCTTTTCAGGTAAATAATTGTAAAATTTGAACCCTAAAAGTTGACTAAACTAGAAAGTATGGTAAGTATAAAACGAAATATAATCAATAGTTTATTACTATGATTCTAGGATAACATATTAGCATAAGGCTCAAAGAGACTTTCATGTAGGTTTAGTACAATTATTTTTTTACCATTGTTGGTGATTAATCCTGTTATAATGAAAATTTATTTGCTAGTGATGTCTTATCCTTTCTATTTTTTTAAAATTATGTAGCTAATCTTTTTAGTTCAAGAAGTTTTCTTTTGCTTATAAACCTATATGTGTAGTTGTTTGCCTTGGACCCGGATCCTCTGCTATAACCGGACGTCTAGTTTAGTTGATTTTGTATTTTTGCTTATGTAACACCTTAATTTTAATTTTAATTAAATCAAAATTTCACAAATTCGGAATAAAAATAAATTTTATTTCAATTAAGGTTCTCAACCTTTGGTTTCATCAAATATTTCAAAATAAGGAAAGAGGTTACAATTTCTTTATCAAGTCATTGTTACAGGACCATTCAAGTACATTAGTTTCAAATTAAAATCTTAAGTCCTATAGCAGTTTCATCCACCCCTTCACTGAGTCCGGTGTTGATCATCTTAATTACCTGAAAAATGAATGTAAAGGTGAGTAATCTACACTACCCAAAAACACGCAATCAACGTAGAGTTTCACATCCAGAGCATTTTCAATACATTAAACAACACAAATACAGGCAACAATTCACATCCATAAATATAATTCATGAACACATGCATACGCACGCCAGCCACACTCACATTGACACTGTAATCACAGATTTACACCATAAATAGTCGACGGTTACCCCCATCTCACGGATACCACGTGGGCAGTCACGGGTCGCTCAACAAAGGTATTAGAGGTCTAGTCAGGAAGAGAGTGGTGGCCTGTGGTGCACTCGTTCCACAGTCGGTGTCACCACCACTCTCTTTTCTCCAAGATATTTCTACCGTCCTCATCTCCCACACCCCCAGTGTATCGCTAAACCATTCACAGCACATTACAACAGCGTTACACGCCCCAATCACACACATTTCAGTATACAGCACATAGCCCACAATTTATTCAAGACACACGGCCCCTAGCCTATTTCCATTCATATTACACGGCTCTCGGGCTCACATTTTCATAATATACATTCACAATGCTCAGCATACAAGCCCTCATCCTATCATACAACATTTAGCAAATAAATCACATGTCACGGCATATGGCCCACATCATATTTCACAGCAATTTCTTACCCTCTACTTGGCCATACCACAATATTCCACAAAACACAGCAAATCACACATACAAGAGTAGGGTAGAGTCCCCCTTTACCTTGGATTGAAGACCCACACTCGGATTTGACCACGGACGTGCTCCTTACACAGATTTCGGCCTAAAACACATGGAAAAATTCCATGAGAATCCAAGGAAACCCAAAAACAGAGAAAAGAAGATGAGAAACGGAACTCTAACCATTAAAACTCACCTACAAGCATTCCCCACACAGATTCAACCTTCAATCAAGCTCCCGAACGGCTTTGGAGGCAATTAATTGGTGGAATAGGGTTTGGAAGTGAGAGAATCAAAGGGATTTTGAAGGGAGAGGGAGAAATAATCCTTCCCGAACCCTAACCCCCTTTAAATCATTTTCTAGTCGCGACACTCTCGCTACAGCAAGGGACACGCCCTCTTGTTACAGCGAAAAAATCAGAGAAAACTACACTCTGATTTCTGCAGAATCTCGCTACAGCGAGACCCTCTCGCTATAGCGAGATTGCACCAAAAAATGCATCACAAACTGTCGCTCTCTCGCTGCAGCAAGACGTCTCTCGCTGCAGCGAGAAGGCGACAATTTGCCCTTTTCCTCCCAGGGTCCTCTCGCTACAGCGAGAACAGCCCAGTAATACGCCCTACGCTTAGGCACTTAGCTCATTTCAGCTTTATCTAGTCATGCATACACACAATACACACATCCATACACTTAATACACATAGCCAAGTAAATCAACACACGTATATATGTATATGTATTTAGATTTATATAAATAACAATAATCAATATTACAAAATTCGGGGTATTACAGCTTAAGCGAAAATGCAAAAATTTACTTGACTGAACCGTCCAATTTCCATCTAAACAGCAAAGGATCCTGTTTTGTTTGCCTCACTGTTTTATATCATGTTGTTCAAAGACAATCGTCCAATAATGAACTTTAAGTTGAGGATCATTAAATTTAATACAGGTCAATTTCAGTTTGATAACAAATAAAATTTATCTTACAAGTTAGAGATAATTTATATATTTTTTTAACTTTTCTAAAATTTAAAATAAATTATTTTTAATTTACAAAAGAAATTTTATTAATTTTTATAATAATTTTTTTACTTATATAAATTTCTCTAAAAATTAAATTAGTAAGCTTCTACTTTTAACTTTTGTTGCAGCAACACTAATTTTAATAAGAAAATTTATGTATTATTGTTATTAATATTATTTATTAATTAAAATTAAAATTAAAATTAAAATTTAATTAATAATCAATCCTTAGAACCTCTAAACAATTGTACCTAATATTTGTTTTAAAGAGGAGATTCATTCGTTATCTAATAGACTAATAACCATCCCTTTCCTTCAAAGTTCAAAAATAATTTAATAAAATTAATAAAACCCGATCAATTTTAAAAGTTGGCTGAATCAAACTAATTTACTTTTCAGGTTTTAGTTAAATCTGAATCCAATGTAGTGAACGCAGCATTTTTAAGCTCGCTTAAGCCAAGATGGCTTTATTTGGTACCCACTTTCCTCTTCTCGTCTCCTTCATCCTTCCTTCTTCTTGTCCCTCAATCGTCACAAGGCCTTCTCCCTCTATTCTCCTCACCTGTGTGCTGTGTCCAGCCTCCTCTCTCACTCTTTAGTCGTTCCTAGCTTTCTCCCTTTTCTTATCCACCAAAAAAACTTCTGATATGGCTTCAAGAACACTCGACAAGGAAAGGCTGAGATGGAGGGGGTTTGGAGTGGACTAAAAGGAGAGAGCAATTTGGGAACTAAAAAGGTCATCTTAGCAAGTTGAAAATCCTTTAAGGGAGACTCAGTTGTGCTGCCATTAACTGCACTGGATCGATCCTCCATCCTTATAGAGCATCAAATTTAAATATTACTTAAACTAATTAATTGACAAATTCCCTAATTCGTTAAAATTTAATAATAAATTATATAAAAATTATTAAAATAAATTTAAAAAAGTAAGAAATTGTTCCATAAATTCCATCAAAGCCATGGACCTCTTTCTCTCTCTTCGGTCGCACCTAATTGGCTATTGCTATTGTCCTTCTCCGACCGCACTACATAATACTATCGTGTTTGCATTGGTATTCTATCGTACATGCACACACTCTATTGCACTTACACTTTTCACTCCGCGGATCTTTCTCTCTCTTACAAGGTACTTTTCATCATTCTCGCTCTCGTTCCATTTTTCAAAATCAAAATTATTTCCTAGAGCAGACTCTTTCTTCTCATCCTTGAGTTTTTTTTTTCCCTCTTTTTTTTTGGTTATTTATTACCTATGGTGTTAAAAAATTGAACTTTGTCACTACATTTGAAAAACAAATGCTGGGTTGTGTTGTGTTTGCTTTGGTTGATCTCATTCTCACCCTTCTTCACAAACATTCTCATTTACTACCATTGAATTGGTTGCATGCAAACGGTTCTTCATTTTTCTTTTTCTTCCTCTGTTCTTCAAGTTGTTTATTGAAAAATTTTGCCTTGAATTCTGGGTATGCTTGTTTTGCTTAATTGTTTTTTCTCTGCGGATGTAATATTTCTCAATTGATCTTTTTTTGTGCTCAATTTGTTGTTCTCATTATATTTTCCCCATTTTCAACGCTTATGGGGAAATGGGTCCTGGTGTTTTAACCAAAGGATTTTGGAGCGGAAGTTCCAGAGGACTTTTTGTGGTTTTGAAAATGGAGTTTAGGGTTTCCGTGGGAATTTAGTTGAGGTAACTGTGTATTTTAGCCTGCATGCAAGGGATCAATGTTTTTAAGGCCTTTTTTGATGTACATAATATATATGGAGAGAAATGGAAGAATCTTTTTGTGATTTATGTTTCTGAGAATGGTTTTCATTTACTTAAGTTTCTGAATGCTTCTATGAATGATATTCTGACATGTTTACTGGATTTCATTTTCCTTTTTTTTGTGTCCTATTTCACCCTAGAAGATTTCGTTTTTAAGTTGATTATGTAACTTTCACTTGGTTGTCATTTTATTATTCATTTTGTTAAAGGGATAAAAAGAAGATTAAATATTACATTAGTTTTTCCTTTTTTTCAAAATATAAAATTGACAGGAAATGAAATTTACCACCCTGCTGTTAAATTATGGGTACTCTATTTCTTTTTCTTCTTGGACTGGTTTTGAATCCTTTAAATTTCAAATTATTATGATCAAAGGACCTTATTGTTCTATCCCTGAACGCATATGAATTCAATTCTTCTGTCCAATTTTTCTGTTCTGGCCTCGACTTATAAACAATTTCTTCAATAGCTTTTTCTCACTAGGAGGAGTATACTACACAGATCAAATGATGCCATTGTATTTTGTCAAAAACTAAGTTTTCAAAAAAGGTAAAAAACCATTTAGATCAACTTTAGTTGAATGGTTTCATAGGGTTTTCCTTGATCTTCCTTGTTGAGCTATCCACCACCTAATCATCTTATTTTACTTGAGCCTCATCTGTTCTTCTCCATACATAACCAAGCTATTGTGGGGAAGATTCTATCATAACACACAGGGTTGCTATATGGATCAAACAACCCCATTTAAAATTGAACAACTAGAAAGAAAGAGACCAAAAATGCTGCCCGCTAAGAGAAAAATATTCTCAACTGAGATGTGTTTCTTTGCTTAGTTTTCAGGTTGCGGTTGAGTGGGGGGAGGATTGGGGGACAGAAGATTTGATTGAACAAGTGATGCTTCCCTTCAGTTGACTATTTCCTTTTCACTTTTATTAGAATGCATGCAAGGCTTGTAGGTTCTGCAAATGGTAGAAACATTAAGTTGATCAACTCTGAAGTGCTAATTTCAAATTTTGTATTAGTCAGGTTGTGATTATATGGGGCATATGATTGAAGATTTGAATCTGTTGCTTTTAGTCTTTTAGTGGGAAAATCTATGAAGTGCAAAGTGAATTCTTAACTCTGATAATTGGTTGCTGAGGATCCAAACTATGGGATCTCAAGGTGATGCTGGTGATAATAATGGAAAACATTCACAACTCCAGCCGTTGGTGCGGCAAAATTCAATGTACAGTCTCACACTTGATGAAGTTCAGAATCAATTAGGTGACTTAGGAAAACCACTAAGTAGCATGAACCTTGATGAGCTTCTAAAAACTGTTTGGACCGTTGAGGCAAACCAGTCCAAGGCGGATATTGAGGGTACAGCTCAAGCTGGTCAAGCTACTCTGCAGCGTCAAGCTAGTTTGTCATTAACTAGCACTCTAAGCAGCAAGACAGTTGATGAGGTTTGGAGAGATATCCAACAAAGCAAAGATGACAAGGAGAAGAAGTCTCGATCAAGACAGCCTACATTGGGAGAGATGACGTTGGAGGATTTCTTGGTAAAAGCAGGGGTTGTTGCTGAAGCAGCATCTAATAGAAAGAATACTCGTCCTACAGTTGGTGCTGATGCAAATATAGCAGCACCACAACATGGCCCTTGGATACAGTATCCACAACCGCAATATCAGCATCCACAACAAGGTTTAATGGGGATTTACGTGCCTAGTCAGAATATAGCACAACCATTACACATGGGGGGTGGTGCTACATTGGATGTTCCATACGTAGATGGTGAGGTGGCATTGTCTTCACCTATGATGGGAGCCTTGTCAGACACTAAGAAAACTGGGCGAAAACGGGGCACATCAGAGGACATGGTAGAGAAGACTGTTGAGAGGAGGCAGAAGAGGATGATCAAGAATCGGGAATCTGCTGCCCGTTCTAGAGCAAGGAAGCAGGTAAGCTTTCTCTTTCTTTTGAATGCCATGTTATAAGTTTTTCATTTTTTATCATGCAATTCCCCTTCGTAAAAATTCTTAGCCTGAATGATAACTATAAACAGGCCTACACAACCGAATTGGAGAACAAAGTCTCACGTCTGGAAGAGGAAAATGAAAAGCTGAGGAGACAGAAGGTTTGATTCTGCTTTTAAGTACCATATTTGTTCCACAAAACATGTTTTCTGTTAATTCTAAGTGCTCAATCTAGCTTGCTGTATATTGAGTAATATCTTCTTTTCTCTGAGTACAATTTCCAAATAAATTTGGACAATCTTAGCTGGATTTGGCAATTCCTTGTAAACATTTTTCACACTCGCCTCCTCTCAAAAGATTAAACTGCAGTTGCTATATATTGGTGCATTTTTTCTCCTGCGATCCCCATTTTCATTCAAAGGAAAAGGCTTTGCTTATTTCCTTCTCAGTTTTGCTTTGTAATCTGGTTTTTTTCAGGAGTTTTTGAGAAACAACTTGTTTATATGGATAAATGGACCATTGTGGTCAGTGTTTCTAAGACAATTATTTATCCATATATTTTGAGATGACATTCAGCTGGCCAACATTATTGATATCTATGGTAGTTATGCATGCTTGATTGAGTTTGATGAATTTTAAATTCTAAGTAATCAGATGAATTTGTTCAAATTTTATTAAGACTAGCTTATTTTTCTGACAAAACTATTTTGTGATGTTTTGTGGCTTTGCTTAATTTTACCTCTGCTGTTCATGATGTAAATTAGGTTGTTATCACAAATTATTGGCTAAATAAACCCTTTGAGGTTTTCTGTGACTTGTATTTTCAAATTGGGATTTTCTTTCCACTTGTTCAATTGTGGTATACTGAAGTACCTTAGGGATGGAGCATTGATCAACCTGGAATCCTCAATACATTTAGTAAACGTCACTTACTATGTTTTAAAAATTGATTCTGAAGTTATATTTTTTTTTTCTTGCTTTCTTTTCCTTTTCTTTTATTTGGGCAACTTATGAATATTCTGATACCTGAGCTATTTTAATGGGTGTTTGTATCTTAATAACAATTATGATACTTTAGAACTCTTGAGAGTTTGAGGATTCCTTTTACTCCAATAAAGATTTTTATTATTTTGTAGCCAGATACTTCATCTTAGTGGCTATTTACATTAATTAATGGAAAAGTGAAAATTGGGTGAAAATTGGCTTCTGTTTGGAGTAAAACCTGGAGGAAGAAGGTTGGAGAAGTTTATTTTCATTTAGCCTGGTTTTGAGTAGGGATCACAAACGAGTATCATCAACATTAATGAAATTTGTTGCATTATTACAAAGTCACCGTTGCTTCTTGATGTCATGTATTGGTGCATCTCTCCTGTTGTCACTGCTCTAGCTTGTACAGATTTAGTAAGAAGATTTGGTCAGAAAAATATTTGATCAGGTTCAATTGGTCTGATAAGCATACAGAAATGATCAAGTAAAGTGTGGCTTAACTCTGATGTTGGATATAAAACCATTCATGAGCCTATACTTAACAGCTTAAGCTTCTAGGGGAGTTGGTCCTTGATATGGTATCAAAACCTTGGTGACCAATTTGTCGGGAATTGGATCTGTGCCTAATACCTGTTTGCTACGAATTGAATTTAAGCACAACGATGGTAGGTTTATGTGATGTACACACACTTGATCCTGGTGGGCTCTTGCTATGTGTTTCGATATAAAGTCAATAATGAATCTTACATAAACTGATTAAGTTTTGGGGAGTGCTGTGATAGAAACAAGGTATCTTATTAAGAAAAATTATGGATGAACCCCAATTACAAAACACACAATGCAGAACTTCAAGGGTCTGCACCTCCCAATGCCATAAAGGCTTCAATTTCCTTTCACAAATCACATATCCCCTTCCTCTCTAATCTCCCCTCTTATTTATAGCCAACATGCCTTATGGAAACCAACTCACTAATGAGTCCCTAACTAACATCATAACTAATTACAAATGGGAGTTACCTAACATGCTGGTCCTGGGCATTTTGGACTATCACATGCAATTTTACAAAGATACTAATATGACACTAGGGAGTTTTACAAATTACAAAATGTGCCAATTCCAATCTCATGACAAGTTGGAGCATTACAAATTTCCATCTTACATGGTTACACTTTAATGACTGGTGTTATATATCTTGATCTTGAACTATATGCTTATTTTTTTTCTGCTGCTCCATGTATTCTGTTCTCTCAGGAATTGGTGGTATGTATGATTGTTCCCTTTCATTTCTTAGTTTCACACTCTCCCATAATGGAAGTAATTGGTAAGAGGATCATGAAAGGTTCAACTTATAAATCCTTCATGCAGCTGTTGCACTGCACAAAAACCTTGTTCATTAATCCCGTTGCATGAATTTAGATGTTGTCCATAATCATCATTGCCTATTCAAATCATGGGAATGAATTTATCTTTAGTGGTCTCTGATGCATCCTTGTTCCTTCTTTATGACCAGTTTATTAATTCCTCTCCTCAATTTGCAGGAACTAGAGAAAATGTTATCCAGTGCTCCACCTCCTGAACCTAGATATCAGCTTCGCCGAACATCATCGGCGTCATTCTGACATCTGCACCTGTAAATGGAGGTTTGTAGATATGAGCATCAAGAGAATTACCTTCTTGTCTCTTAGGAGTAGCTATTTGAGGCATTAGCATGCAACGGCTTACTTTTTCTTGTAATTAGGATTGTTTAATTGTAACAGTAAAATCCTAGTAGTAAAAATTTCTGGGCATACATTGTAGTTTTACCATTCATTATGTAGCCTTTCTAATATCATAGCTGGAGTTTATTATGAAATATTGGTGATGGCATGCATATTGGGTCTTGCAATTTTTCAAGTTATGGGAAAATAAGGAACTCTCTAATTTGAGATATTGCTTTCTGATTTCGCTTTTAAATTTTAACTATAAAAATGTCACATTGTGTTTTATTTTATCTTCTGTTTTCAAATATATGTGTAGAAAATACTGAAAACAATCTTTTATTGTTTGTACTGTTTTCTATATAATATTTTGAAAACGTGATATTTTTGTAATTAAAAATAAAAAAAATAAAATTAGAAAATACTTTTCTCAAATTAAACGGCCCTTACTTTTAAATTTTAACCCTTTTCTAACACCCTTTTTACATTTAGGGACAGAATTATTATGCTGTATGCTCAAACAATGCATTCATACCAAATGCTAATGTATCACTATGGACTTCGTTGATCAACATAATAGGATAATAAATTATAGATAAGATATAAGAAAAGAATAATTTTTTATTCTATTTTATATATTTTATATTTGATGTATATTAAGTTAATACAATTGATAACACTATATTGGCTTGTTTAATGAATAAATTATATTCGAATAACATTAGAAAAAAAAATTATATTCAGATGACCAAATCATTCTTTTATTAAAATTTTATAATTTTTAAGAGTATTTTTTATTTAAATTTTTAGTTTTTCAATAAAAATATATTAAAAATTTAAAAATATTTTGTGTACATACACATTAAAATTTTGATATTAAATAATAATATTTTCCTTCAATTTTATTACAATTAATTTTTTTGACAAAAATTATAATTAAGATAAAATAAAATTTTTAAATTAGTTTTTGAAGAATATATTTTTTAAAATATTTTTATTAGAAAAATGTTCATTAATATGGTTTTATAAAAAATAAAATCATATTTTAAAAATAATTATTTTTTATAAAATATTAAAATGAGCATATAGTATATTAGTTTGAATATAATAAAAAACATTATTTTATCGTGATGTTTCCTTACCGGTTATTTTCCTTAAGATATGAATTTGAATTATAAGAATAAATTAGGATTGCTCAACAAACACCAAATAGGATAGGATCAACTATTTCATCCTAACCACTAAATAAATCTTAAAACTTTAAATTGGTCAAAAGATAAAAAGAACTTTTGAATTTAATATTAAAAAAAAGAAATATTAGAATTAGTCTTACAACGGATGTGACTTTTCATTTATTTTAGTCTTTGTTAAATAATTTTCATAGAAATGGTGATATAGTATATTAATATAGTAAATTACATAAATATTTTTTTTCTAATGTTTATTAAAAATGTTATAGTTTAAGGTGATTAAAATATTTTTTGTGTGTACGTTTTTAATAAAGTGTTATATGAGAGGCAAAATTAAAATATTTTTTAGTAATTTATATTATAACATTTTAAATTTTATGTTATAAAATTAAAATGATCTTCACCACGTTTGAATAAAAATCTGAAAGAAGCAATAAAGCCTTATCATTTGTATATGGAATATTCTGATTCGTATATATTCTTATAGTATAAAAGAGGCTCCCCATAGAAGATTACTTGCACTTGAGGAAATCAACATACAATTATTGTATCTGACGCTTTTTAAAAAAATCAACAAAGTATAATAAATTATGAGTTTTATTAACTTAAGGCTGATTTAAATATTCATAAATAAAAAAAATTTATAAAAAAATATAATAAATATTTTTTTAATAAAATTTTATTATTATTAACTACTTATTCTCAGCTCTAAAGACTGATATTAACAAAATTTATAAATTATAACTCATTAATTATAAATTAAATAAAAAATTTAAATCAAGTGTAAGTTTTTAGATTTATATTAATGTAAAAAATAATTTTTTTTATGTATGTATACCAAAATAATTAGAATTGATGTGGGAAATAAAAAAATAATTTGATTACAGTAGCATGAATTTGAAAAAATATTAAATAAATAATTAGCAAAATAGATAATGAAAGCCAGCACTCAAGAACACCAAAAAGGTTGCATGGTGTAAATGAAAATGATGTATCTATTTTAAAATTATGCATAGATAAATGTAAGGAAACACCGGCAGAGAGATTTGTCTCAATTTATTTTAATCTTTTCTTCCCTAAAATTACTCAGGCTAAACAAGATTTTAAGAAAAATAACATTATAATTAAAGAAAAATAATAAAATAAAATGCTGGCTTTAAATTAGTATAACTTCAATTTTAATTCCAAAATATTCTAATTAGTGTAAGGAAACTCCTTATTAATTATTTAAAATTCAAATAAAAACATAAATATAATGCCGATATTCTTATACTGTTCTTCATACTAGTATAACACAGAAGCAGTAATGTGAGCAAATAAATAACTCAGAGAATACAAACACAAAACATTCAAAGTATACGAATTGAAAATTATCCGAGATATATTAATATGATAAAAACATTTTGTCTTTAATTTCTATTTAAAAAGATATTAATTAACATTTGTTCAATGATAAATTTTAAAACACTTTTTTTATATTTTATATACATCTTTTTATCCTCGAGCTTTAATATATGTTTTTTTCAAATTTTTTATTATTTATGAAATGTGCATTAAATAAAAAATACATTCTTTATTTTCTAAAAATATAAAAAATATTTAATATTTTTCATTTAATAATTAAAAAATTAAAAGCATAAAAATGAGAATTTTGAGCATTTTTTATTTCTATTTTAAAATAATTTTTTAAAAATATATAATACAAATTATTTTAATTTTTCTTTGACTTTCTCCCCCCTTTTTTTAATCACATTGTTTATCATATTTCTATTTTTTTTCCTATTTCTTTCTTTTTTATTTTATGCCTCAACCAAAATAAGATAAACACATCACACCATCTCTCTCTCTCTCTCTCTCTATATATATATATATATATATATATATATATTATGTTGGCTTAAATTGAAAATTATATATGCAAATATATTAGTAAGTATTTGAATTGCACTTTAAAAATAGAAATCCTAGATAATATATGCAACACCCCTAATTTCTTATTTAAAAATGCATAATAATTTATAAATAAAGTGATAAAAATGAATTTTTTTTAATTTGAAGAGGTATAAAATGTGATAAAACGAGAGAACCTTCTTGTAAACAAGTTCTTTTGCAAAAGTTTACCAAGTATTAAATGATAAAAGATAAACTATGTATCAATAATTATATTTACACAAGAATATGGAAGAAATATACATGCACTGGATTTCATTTATTTACAAAAGATATATATTTACAAACTGTTAACAAAATATAATAAGACTTAGAACATATTTACAATAATAAAAATAAACTGAGTCTTATGAGTAGTCCCTATCCACACCCAATGTACCATGCTAGTGCTTTATCTCGGCTAACTTCTCTAGCATTAGGTCCTCATCCTTTTCGAGGTCACCAAAATTAGCTACGACTTCAACACTCGTTATCTACTCGAAAGTATATTGGGCAGGTCTCCTAAGAAAATTGTGATCAAGAAAAGTGTAAAAATACTTTGCAGTTACTAGAGTCCTAATAGTCCCTCGATATAAAGATTAAGGGTGTGGCGAAGTTGATTATTTACAAGATAGTCGAAAGGAACACTAATCTAATGTCATTTTTAGGGTAAGATGTGCCTAATTTTATTATTACCTTCCACAACAAATTTAAAATAATTTATACATTGATACTCTCTAAATACATAGTTTAGCACGCAATTTACAAGGTAGTCTACTAATCTAATTACTCCTCGAGATTTAGTCATCCTTGCTAAGTGTTTAGTAAGGATGAATATCTTTCTCATCATTAAACATAATGCATTTACATTATTGAATATCATAACATAAATTTTACTTACAAATCAAGGAAAATTATGCCATAGCACATACTGAAATGCATACATAAGCAATTTTCACAATGCATACACATTTAATTACAAAAATTACTACAATTTCACACTTTCTATGCACCGCGATCACAGATATTCGATGTCTCCAACACTTCATGAGGTCTTACATAGATAGGTAAATAGTTGTTGGTTAGCCTATGCAAACAGATACAACGTATACAATAACTGGCCCCTTAACAAAAGTATAGTCAAGAGTCAAGTCAGGAAACAAGTGTGAGGCCATGTGACGCATTCGCTCTCAGAAAGAGTGTATACATATACACGACCCTACTTTTCTTTTAGATTTCTCATTGTCACCAGACTCTATACCCTTAGTGTATCTCTGTAACTATTCACACTAATTCCTTTTATCACTTTGTATTCATTCTATACTCCTTTTCACATCCATCTCATTATTCGGCTAAAAGAGAGTACTTAGTAAAGCACTTCCAAACTAAGTACACAACACATAGGTTTCAATATATTATAAACTTCCAAAATCATCCACAACATATATTATTAACCCTTCACTACAATTAAATATCATTCGACTAAAAGATCATGCTCATCCAAACATTTCTGGACTAAGTCCTTATCATATGTATCAAAGAAATATAGTATAATCATCCAAATAAACCAAATATGCATCATCAACTTTTCACTACAAAATATTATCATTTAAATACGTATTTCCATACAAGAAACATACAATAGTATTCCTATGAGCACAAAATATACACTATATTATATGACAAAATAGAGCTCTCCTTACCTTGAGATGAAGTTTTGGAAAGCAATTTGTGAAAGATTTTGTTCAAAAAAATGAGTTCTTTCTAAATATTGCAAGAGAGAGCACTTTACAAAAGATAAAAAAAAAGCAGAGAAAACAACTGAAGATTGGAAGACTAAACTCCAAGAAATTTACTTAGAGTTGATCGAAATGAATGTTGAAGCCCAAATTCAGAGAAAGATTGAGGTTTAAGAAAGATTTTCTAAGAGAAGAGAGTCAGAGATTAGAGAGGAGTTCGTAACTTGGATTGTAATCCAAGTTTTCTAAGTTAAAAATCCTTAAATACTTCTTAACTCGCAATATTCTTGCTATAGTGAGTTGTCTCTCATTACAACAAAAAAATGTTGTTGAGTCATCTTTATCTACTTTTCGATACAGCGAGAAAGCTATAAAGAGCCTAATTTTGGATTATCTTTCTTGCTACAGCGAGAGCTATCTCGGTACAACAAGATACCCTGTAGTTTACACTATTTAAACACTTCTAATTTCAATCAACTTACACAAACAAATAACATAAAGTACAACAACAACAACAATAATAATAACAAAATGAGGGTGTGATAGTATAATTATGATATAAAAAAAACTTTATAATATAATCACTTGATTTCTATCAAATTTTTTTTGCTTAAATACAATTTTGATTTTTGCAAATGTAACATATTTGTGATAAATTTTTGTAAAGATTTTTTTTGTTAGGATTTAGTTCTTAAAATGTTAAGATATTAGGATTTAGTTCCTACTATCAATGTATCTTATGTTAAATGTTGAATTAGTTAACAAAGAGTGAGCTTAACACCTCATGTCATTGCTATATCATTTAATTTTAAAATATTTTAGGTTTAATTATTTTTTTGTCATTGTAAATATAGTACGTTTCATGATAAATATTTTTGTTAAGATTTAGTCCTTCAAATGTTAAGAGGTTATGATTTAATTTCTATCATTATAATTGTCACTTATTGTCATGTCATTTAATTTTTTATTATTTAAATTGATATTTGCAAACAAGTTCTAAAACATCTTTTAAATATTTATAAAAAGTCTCTTAGAACCTTAATCTCCTTCCTTCTTTTCCTTCTCTATCTCTTTCTTCCTTCTATTCTTGAGACTTTGAAAGTTCAACGAGTATATTGGTGACAGGTTGAAGAACCTATATCTTGTGGAGAATCTCGATTGTGAGCCATGACACTTCTAATATCTTAAGTGTTAGACGGAAGGTCAAATCAAAAGTTAAAGCTAACGCTTACCTCGAATTAAGTCACCACTCGCAAGTTTAGGAGAAAGCAAAGTTCTAAAGAAAAAGAAGAATCGAAGTTGTTGTAAGTTCAAAGGTCTTTTCGAACGGGATTGTTGTTAGCCCATGGATAATAATAAAGCTTGCTAAAGAATAACCCGAAATCAACAAGAACATAGGGAGAAAGAGACAAAGAAGAAGTATGGGCATATTCTTAAGGATTTTTTTATAAATATTTAAAATATGTTATAAACTTGTTTATAAATATAATTTTAAATAATAATATAATAAAAAATTAAATGACATGGTAATACGTGATGAGTTACTTCTCTTAGAGCCAACTCAGCATCCTAACAAAAATAAAATAAAATTTAATCACAGCTACTAAATCCTAACTAATTAATATTTCAAAGATTATATCTTAATAAAAAAATTTATACAAATTTATCACAAAATGCTACAAATAACCAAAAAATATAATTAAAACTAAAATATTTTAACCATAAATTGATTAACTATTCAAAAGAAAATTATCATTAATAACTAAATCTTAATATTTTAATATTTTAAAGATTAAATTCTAATAAAAAACTTTATAAAAACTTATTATAAAATATATTACATTTATATAAATCAAAATTATATTTAAGTTAATAATTTTATTTTATTTTTATTTAACCAATCACATTAAACAATCTAGTTTTCCAGCATTCATGAAGAAACTTTCATACCCTATAACAAGTTTTTTATAGAAAATTTAAATATCAAAATAAAATATAATACCTAAACATCTATAACAAAAGAAAAATCATTGATAGTTAAAAAAAAAAGAAAACAAAGACAAAAGTGAAAAAAGTCATAAAATGAAAGCCGAGGGAAAATTGTATGTAAAATTTTTCGTATACAGGTATTATTAAATTAAAATAATTTTTAATAAATAATTATATTTAAATCTTATGATTTTTTACTCTATTAAAAGTAACAAAAAATATGAAAAATATAATTCTTAAAACTTTATAATTTAAGTTAATTATGAAAATATTTTTAATTTGTACAAAATTACATATAATAAAGAATAATTCATAAATATTTTTTAAAAAATTACAACATTTAATAATATTAATATAAATTAAATGATATATTTTTTACTAAAAAAATTATTGTATATAATTTATTATTAATATACTATAGAGAGGTTGTTAGGCGCAATGACAGAAAAGTGAGTTTTGTGCGTCGTCTCCGGGGATCTGCAACGACAGAGAATTAGGCGATGAAGCGTAGTTCAACTTCAACGGTAAGGAAACCGTTGAGGTATTCTTCACGGAAGCTTATACGCAACATCATTCTCTCTCTCGCCGTTTTGACCATTTTGCCTCCCATTTTCTTCCACTTCCGCCTCCGACGCTTCCACCAGGTTCTTCACCAAACCCTACTTTCCTCTTCTTCCTGAACGGCTTCGTTTCATTTTCATCTATTTTAATTGCGCTTCAGATGCAACTGCGAAAGTGCCGCTGGCTCAGCGATCCTCCTCTCGTGTGCGCTCACGGTGGCGATTCCTCCAAGGCTTCGCCCAACACTGTGCGTTTTGCTTCTCTCTCTCTCTCTCTCTCTCTCTTCTTTATTTTCTCCATTTTTCATTTCATTTCGGATTCTTGTGCTTTCGTAGATGGCATCGTATCTCTCTGCTCTTCAGTCTCGTGTCGACTGTGTTGAGATCGATGCCTCTCGTTCTTCCGACGGAGTTCTGTTCGCCCTCCATGACAGGTACTTTTCTATGCTCATATTTATTATTAACATTATTCTAATTATGAAAACGTGAGCCGATTTTAATCGACTATAATTAGTAAAATAAAATATTCATTAAATTGAGAATATAAAATTTAATAAATGTTATTTGTTTATTTAATAAAAACTTACTACAATTTTCTAATGTACGTGTAAAATTACATAATAAGAATTTATATATAATAATTTTTTTATCGAAATAACAAAATATCGCCAAATTTAATGCCTTAATATTGAATGATACAAATTTTAATAAAATTTATTAATTTTTTTAACATGTACCCATGAACACACTTTAGAAAAACGGAACTTTTAGTTGGTCCTAACTCATTTCGTGTATAGAGTAGAGTTATAACTGCTTTGGGATTGATGCTCACTCGATGCAGGCAGGGATTTGCAGCGGATATCTGGAAACGCTAGCTCTAAGGTTGGTTACATGAGCTCGAATGAGGTGAGGATAGCGAATTTCATTTTATGTGATCTATTCTAAGTGTTGGTTATGTATTGTTTGAGTTTCCAATTTTTCTTCCCTAGAAGGTCCTGCTATCTTCTGAACTCTGAAGTTAACTTCATTACTACACTTTTCATTGTTGCAAGCTCGTTTTATAGACGAATGATTGTGTTAATATGTGTTTTTCTTAGTAAGAGCTAGGTCACCAACCGCTCTAATCAAACTAGTGGCTAACTGGTATGAAAAGAAAAAAGTAAATGAAATAAATGCAGTTGAAGGTATTGAGTTTGCCTGTTTTTCAGTTGTTTGTGTAACTGTTCAGGTCAGCAGAACCCGGTGGCATTAGTGGAAGTTTTGATTCATCATTGTACTAGAATTGTTGTACTTACAAAGACAGCAGCCGTGTTCACCTCCACACTGAAAACAAAAAGAAAGAAACTGTTCATTTGTCATGGCCCCTGAACGGTAGTTTAGTGACATTATCATGATTCATGGATATGAAAGCTTTTTCTTATGCTTCTATCTGTGTATGTGTGCACATGCATTCATGTAAATTGTGTCTCTCATGCACTGATTGCTAGAGAACAGTTGTAGGCTGTGGAAATATTTGAATTTCAACTGTGTTTGATATAAAAACACATTTGCATGCTTTTCACCTAACAGCTTAAGCTTATGGGATTGTTGGTCCTTGATGTAAAGCCTCTATGATCATTCGTCCAGAATTTGATCCTTTTTCCTCCACTCTTCTAAATAAAAGTTAAATTTCAACACAAGGTATGGTATGCTCGTGCATTATCCACCCTTAAAGTTCTGGCATGAGGTGTTAATATAAACCCATTCATGACAAGCGATTTTGGTGGTGCTCCTGCTGATGTTGCGGTAAATTGGGGCATAAGATATTTTTTAGATGTTGGTTAGAATTTAAGTTTAACATGCAAAGCTGTTGTAGAGTACGATATTAGTCACTAGACTCACCACCAAGGTTTGTGGAATTGCGTTTGGCAATCATGATATTTGCATAAATAAAAAACTCATTATGTATTACAATTTTGCCCTAGAACTTCTTGATACAGACAATTTATAATCGTTTCTGTTTATTCTCTTTTTCTTGTACTTAGAATGCTTTGAGGCTTAAAAGAAGTAACATTGACTAAGATTCTATTCAGTTTATTTCTGTAGATAAGAGAGCTTAGTGCTTCGCATCGGTCTACTGAGAAATTTAACGATGAAAGTATACTCACTATTCAAGATGCTCTGATGGTATGATTCCAAGATTCAGTAAACACTCTTTCTTTTCTTCCCTCAGTGTTTCATTGAATAGTTTTAGATCTATCCCTTTCACCCCATTTTGGTTTACTTCCTTGCTTTGATTATATTCATTTTCTGTTATTGTTGATGACAATCTCCGACCATGTTTTTACCTGTCTACCTGTGTTTCCAATGTTATATCATATTTTTTTACTGTGGTTCAACTGTTTTTTTTTTTAGTTGACTTCAAATTCAGTCCAACAGATAATTCTAGATGTTAAAGTTGGACCCCCGTTTTATGAGAAAGAACTTGCCAAAGATATTATCTCCATTGTAAGTATAATGCTTCTGCTCCTTGCTGTCCATCAACTGGTGATTGTTTCAGTCCCTATTTTCTTTGCTGTTCAGCATGGTTACTATATAAAAGCTTTAGCGTGCCTAGAGATGACAACCTCCTTAAAGTATGTTGTATCAGTGGCATGATAACATTTCCCCTGCTATTGTGGGATTTAGTGTTTACTCTTGACCTTTGGTACCATTTTTTTTTTCAATGTTAAATTTTGAAGAATTATATAATTGTATTCGTCATAGACTTCGTTCTTTCCTGTAAATATAATATCTTTATGGGTAAAATACTGTTTCCCCCTTGAACTTTAGGGTTATTAACACAAGCTCGGTACAAGTTTAAAACCCTACAGAAAACCCCCCCTTATGTTTGGACACGTGAAAATGATTGTTTCTCCACTATGATGGATTGAACTCCTAACCATGCATTGATTGAGCAGCACACATGACCACCATTCCCTTCTCGCTCACCTTTTCTATCCTAACACCAATAGCTCCTCATCAACTGTCCTAGCACAACTTCAATATCTTTTATATTCCTTTGTGATCTTAAATTTACTGGTTCTTTTCTATGTCCTGAGAGTAAATGAAGAAAGAAATAAAATAATGAGGTGGTCATGTTGGCGGAACCAGCAGCTGTTGGTGAACCTGTTGCCATCAACCCTAATCCTATTAGCACTCATTCTCAGCTCCTCTCCCCTCATTTCCCTCCATTACATCTCTTCTGTCCCAGCAGCACGTCCTAATTTTGTTTTCAAAATATTTTCTGCTTGTGCAGCTATTTGAAGTGTCAACATAATATCTGTTTTCAGGTGGAGAATACAGAGTGCAAAAACTGCATCATATGGGCTAAAAGTGACAATTTAGTAAGGGATGTAATTAAGATCTCATCAGAAATTACAGTAAGAAGCAGTTTATTTAGCTTTGTTTACTCTGACTTTTCATGTTTTTACCTATGAAAATCCTATGTTTTCATTTATTTTTGTTATTTTCTTTAGGATTCAGTTCAATCTAAAATGACAAGGAAAACGAATGTGGTTTATATTCCTAAACAGTTGATTAGCAGGGGAACAAAAGATTGTACTGCTTTTGGCTGTATTGACTTGTACACCTACCTACTTAGCAGTTAGCATTGATTTGTGGCTGTCGACAGAGATTTAATATAAACAGTGAATGATGTAAGTAATGCTTAATAATAAAATAATGCTTCTGAGAGTTAGTGTGAAAGTGGTGAAATTAGCAGAACTCTTTCAGCAAAGCTTGGAAAGGCACTAAGCTGGTGTCAATATCTATGCTGATGCAATGCATTTTGTATCTTTTATTGGAAAAACAAAGTTGTCAATCATTGACACTTGGATAGTAATAGTTGCACTGCAGCACTAAAAAAATACTAGTTTTTTAGGCTTTCATTCAGATTATGAAGGATTGAACTATACATAGGAAGCTTCTTTATTTTATGATAAAAACAAGAAATATTATTAGGGAAAGGATAGTGTTGCAAACCACACAAACGCGAATACAAATATAGAGAACAGGAACAAAAAAAAAGGCTGCAAATATAGGAAGAATATTATTCTATAATAAGTAACGGAAACGAACGGAATAAAATGCACTAGGAGAGCAATATCTCCTAATACCCCAGAGCTAGGCTCCTAATAGAGAGCAATCGCTGCTCTATCCTGCAATAGCGAAAGAACAGAATCAACATAACATCCTACCCCTGTCTCATCGTGCCTAAATAATGGAATATTATTCTTTCTCCCTAACTAACTCTGCCAGCACAGCATTTCATTTGTCATTTTCTGATTTCTTCTTTCTTCTCACATAGACAAGCCATTCTTTGGGCCATGTAACTGCTTCTTGGACTAACATTTCCTCTGGCCCAACATTGCCTTTTGGGTCTCCATCATTTTCCCCTCCATCAAAAAAAATCTTGTCCTCAAGATGCAGCTGTGGAAATTGACTCCGAATGTCAGTTGCATTCTCCCACGTAGCCTCTTCTACTGGTTTGTCTGTCCACTGAATCAACCATTGTCTCACCTTTTCACTATGTTTATCAATCACCCTTGAAGCCAACACAGTCTCAGGAGTCCAAATGTCTTCTCCTGCTTCCCCTAGACCTGCAAGTAGTTCAGGTTGCACTCGGTAGTTCCCTACTGCCCTTTTAAGTAAGGATACGTGAAAAACTGGGTGTATCCTGCTTGTTTCTGGTAACTTAAGACGATAAGCTACTGCCCCCACCTTACCAATTACTTCAAATGGACCGTAGTACCTTGCTGAGAGCTTGGGATTGATTCTTGTATGAACTGACTTCTGCCTGTGAGGTTTTAGCTTCAAGAACACCTATTCCCCTATGTCAAAACTTCGTTCCTGTCATTTGAGATCTGCTTGAACTTTCATGCGCTCTTGTGCCTTCTGCAATTGTTCTCTCAGCTGTTTCAAAGCTACATCACGTTCCCATAGTTCCTTCTGTACTTCCTCAACCCTTATTTCTCCTTGAGTTCCCCGGATTAAAGAAGGGGTTTTCCTGCCATATACCACTTCGAAAGGAGTGACTTGAGTGGAGGCATGAAATGTAGTATTATACCAATATTCAGCCCACGGAAGCCAATGAACCCACTCTTTAGGCTGATCTGTTATAAAACAACGCAAGTAAGTCTCCAAACACCTATTAATTACCTCGGTTTGACTATCCGTTTGCGGATGGTAGGCCGTGCTCATGCTTAAAGTAGTTCCGTGTAGCCTAAAGAACTCCTTCCAGAATTGACTCATAAGGATGGGGTCTCTGTCACTCACAATTGACTTGGGTACTCCGTGTAACCGCACTATTTCACACACAAACACCTTAGCTAGCACCTTTGTAGTATATGGGTGTTTCAAAGGGATGAAATGACTGTATTTAGATAATCTATCCACCACTACAAAAACAGCTTCATAGCCCTTAGATCGAGGCAGCTCCGTTATGAAATCCATTGAAACATCCTCCCAAATTCTTTCCGGTATGGTCAATGGCTGCAACAAACCCCCTGGTGATGTGGCTAGATATTTTTGTCGTTGGCATGTATCACATGATCTCACATGCTGTTGTATAGTGTTTTTCATTCCTCTCCAATACAGGTTGGCTGCCATCCTCTGATACGTTCTATAATACCCCGAATGCCCTCCTTGAGGTGTTGAATGATATTCTTCCAATAGCTTTGAGACCCATGGAGACTTCTCTGAAATAACTAGCCTATCTTTATAAAACAAGATGCCTTGTTTGTAGCTGAACCCCGTATAATCCTCTCTCCCTGCTTTCAAATGCTCAATAATCTCCTTTAGCCTATCATCTTCATGCACCTCTGCAATAACTTCTTGGATATCTAACCACAATGGGTAGTATGTTAACATTCGTATTTCTCCGGTCTCTTCCTTCCTTGATAAGGCATCTGCCCCTCTATTTTCAATTCCCGGTTTGTACACAATGTCAAAATTATAGCCAAGGAGTTTCACCATTCAGTTTTGCTGATTTCCCGTGATCACCTTTTGTTGAAGTAGTTGTTTTAGGCTCTTATGATCCGTTGCCACCACGAACTTCCTACCCAGTAGATATGGCCGCCAATGATTAACTGCCAAAGCGATGGTCATTAACTCTTTTTCATATGCTGACTTGCTTAGATTCTTCACCCCCAACGCCTTACTAAAAAATGCGATTGGATGTTTCTTTTGCATAAGAATGGCCCCCACTCCTAATCCAGAAGCATCACACTCTACTGTGAACTCTTCATCAAAATTTGGCAAGGCCAACACCAGGGCTGTTGTTACCCGCCTTTTTAGCTCCTCAAAAGCACCTTGAGTTGCTTCATTCCATTTGAACAAATCCTTTTTGGTAAGTTCTGTTAATGGTTTAGCCACCTTCCCATAATCTCTAATAAACTTTCTATAGTATCCCGTGAGGCCGAGAAAATCCCTTACTCCTTTAACATTCCGAGGTTTGGGCCAATTTAACACTCCTTGTACCTTTTCAGGATCTACCGCTACTCCCTGGTTTGAAATGATGTGTCCTAGGTACTCAACACTTTTCTGAGCAAACAAACATTTTTTTTTGTTAGCAAAAAGCTGATGAGTCCTCATAACCTCCAATACGTCCTTTAATTGCTCCAAATGAGATTCCCAACTCGGACTGTAAATTAAGATATCGTCAAAGAAAACCAACACATATCTTCTGAGCCTTCCATGAAATATGTCGTTCATCAGGGCTTGAAATGTGGATGGCGCATTCATAGTCCAAAGGGCATTACGAGATATTCGTAATGTCCCTCGTGCATCCTAAAGGCCGTTTTTGGGATGTCCTCCTCCTGCATTTGCACCTGGTGGTATCCGGATTTAAGATCCAATTTTGAAAAGAATTTAGCCCCATGAAGTTCATCCAACAACTCTTCTATCACCGGTATAGGAAATTTGTTTGGAATTGTCACTTTATTCAATGCTCGGTAGTTTACGCACATGCGCCACGATTGATCCTTCTTACGAACCAATATAACTGGGCTGGAAAACGCACTTTGGCTGGGACGAATAACTCCGTTTTCTAATAATTCCCTGACCTGCTTCTCTATTTCATCCTTCTGATGGTATGAGTACCGATATGGACGCACATTTACTGGACCATGGTCAGGTAGAAGAGTTATGCGGTGGGATTGGGCCCTCTTAGGGGGAAGCCCTTTGGGTTCTTGAAAAATAACCTTAAATTTGTTCAAAATTATTTCTAACTCTTCCTTCTGTTGTGAGTTCAGGTGCATTAACTCTGATTCTTTTCCCTTGGTTTTAGTATCTTTCGCCGCCATCCTTTCACCAACGCCCCAGTCAAAATCCTCAACCACGATACCCTTTAACGCCATCTGGGCCGAACACACATCTTGCGCTCCTCGTAACAGCACTAAGGTACCCCCTACATTAATCTTCATCGTTTGGAGTTTCCAATCTACTATCATCTCCCCCAACGATGCTAACCAAGACAGCTCTAAAATCATATCCATGTCTTCAAGGTCAAATAGCAAGGCATCCACCACGCAATGCATGCTCCGAAATTCCATCTCAAGCCCTTTACAGATGCCATTTGTTTTGGTTCTTCGTCCATCTCCCATTAGAATCCGCATGTTCTTTGTGGGAACTTTTCTCCATCCCAGCGCCTCATCAAGCCTTTGAGAGATGAAATTGTGCGTTGCTCCACTATCAACGAGCACACATACTGGGATTCCATGGATCCTACCTTCCAATTTGAGTGTTTGGGGTTGTTCCACTTTTGACTGCGATAACAATAACAGACTGAGTGCACTGCACTCCTCATCGTGTTCTTCTTCTTCTTCGAACGCGTAGTGTTCCTCAGATGTGATGTCCTTTTCTCCTATCTCCACGTCATCAGCTAATATAATTCGCAAATGCTTCTCTAGACATATGTGCTGGGGAGAATACACACCTCCACACTTGAAGCACAAACCTTTTTGCTTATGTTCCAGCAATTCATTGTAGGATAAATGTTTAACCCCTCTATCCTTTGGCCCATTTGTGGATCTGTCTAAAAATTCTTTTTTGTGATTAGAGCCAGGCCCATTAGTACCGCTTCCAGACCCGTAGCTTTTTACACCTCGGTTCCCCCTTATTAGGTTCTTGGCATTGACATTCACGTTGGATCTCGTATACCACTATGACCCGGCACGTAAGTCTCCTTTTCCATACGAATTTACAGTTTTGCCCTTCGCCTGCAACTCCATCTCTCTTGCTCTCGTCACGTTCATTAGGCGGGCTCTGGAAAGCGTCCCCAACGCGTGCAGGCTTCTCACCCTGCTTCTAATCTCCTCCTTCAAGCTGTGAAGGAAATAAGCAAAATACTGTTGCTCTGGAATTTTAGGTACTTGTACAGTCAAAAATTCGAAGTCTTTAATGTACTATTCGACATCTCCAACCTGATGAAGTGCTGTCAATTGATCGTATGCATTCCCCTCCGCCAAACCTCCATATCTATCCAACAAAGCTCTTTTAAATTGTTTCCATGTCATGTCCTCTTCTTCATTCATCAAAGAGTTGAAAAAATGTATGGTCCCCCTTCCATACATAGTTGTGCCAAATTGACACGCACTTGATCGCTAGTCTCCTGAACTTGGAAGTAGACCTCTGCCCTAGAAATCCAACCCGCAGGGTCATCTCCATTAAACATGGGTAGTTCAACCTTTTTAACTGACTGACGAAATTCATCCAATGCTTCCCCTTTAACTTCTTAAGACCTGATCCACTGCGTCCTTGCAACTCCTCTAGTGAGTCACCACCTGGACTCTTCTGGTTCTCGGAGTGTTCTCCTTCATCCTCCGAACCTCTGCTATTTTGTTCTGAGTTCTTTGACAGCATTTCCAAGATCTTCGATTGGGTCTCGACATTCTCTTTTCTCATCGCCTCTATAGCTTTCTGCTGTTCATGAGCCTGGAGACGCATTGACTCCATTGATATTCTCATTCCTGAAAGTTCTCTTTCTACAGTCTCAAGTCTAGAATCCATCACTGAATACCCAGTCTCCGACTCAGCTGATTCCGATATTGACCTTGTCTGTTTTTTCTTCTTAGGTACCGCCCAAGGATCCGGCAGGTCAGACCACTGTTGCAAGCCACACAAACGCAAATACAAATATAGAGAACAAGAACAAAAAACAAGGCTGCAAATATAGGAAGAATATTATTCTATAATAAGTAACGGAAACGAACGGAATAAAATGCACTAGGAGAGCAATATCTCCTAATACCCTAGAGCTAGGCTCCTAATAGAGAGCAATCGCTGCTCTATCCTGCAATAGCGAAAGAACAGAATCAACATAACATCCTACCTCTGTCTCATCGTGCCTAAATAATGGAATATTATTCTTTCTCCCTAACTAACTCTGCCAGCACAGCATTTCATTTGTCATTTTCTGATTTCTTCTTTCTTCTCACATAGACAAGCCATTCTTTGGGCCGTGTAACTGCTTCTTGGACTAACATTTCCTCTGGCCCAACATTGCCTTTTGGGTCCCCATCAGATAGGGTAAGAATAGAGATCCTCCTAGGATGAACCAAGAAAATGAAAATATAAAAACATACAGAGCACTGACCTAAGATGGCTCATCTGATGTGCAAAACCTGATAGTCTTCGCACATGAGTAACGTAATAACCCCCCTCTGAAAGGACACAAGTTGAGCACCTGCAAAAACATAAACAACTTGTAACAATGCACATTACACCCTTTTGCATGGGTTTGCCTTCTTGTCTCAAAACCTTGTAAATGGCATTTGACATGAGAAAGTGCACAGAATTGAGTCTCCAATCGTTAACAACAGTACTTGTCTACAGTCTACACAAATAACTTGCAGTGGGACAGTGTGATGGTAAATGACTAGCTGCATGAATAGGGGAAGAGCATAACAACATTAGGAGAGTTACTGTGAATTGGGCCTTTTGGGTGGTAATGCTATTAAATATTTCAGTATAAATGGAAGACTTCACCTTAAGGGAAGGCCTAGATTTCTGAAGAGGTGGTTAACAAAATGGAGGTTATCCTTGTTTGGAGAATTTTATGTTTATAAATTTTGCATGATCATAGGAACTGAAAGTCTTTAGCTTTGTTGTGCCTAATTAATTTGCATGTATTAATGACAAGAGGTTATATGCATCATTAGGAAGCTGCAAGCTGGTATTATCTCTTGGATGTCTTAATTTTGCATATTGTTTTTATTATCCACTTCAACTTGCACTCAGTTCAGTCTGGGATGATGCAGGTCGGCTACATTGTTATGAGAGAACCTTCTACTGGGGCTAGGACAAATTTGTTGAGGATGATAGGCGCTGAGGTTGTTGGTGTCTACCATCCATTGATTGATGAAAAGCTTATGAGAGTTTTGCACAGGTGTGATTTTTTATTTCATCAACTGGCATCTAGCAGCATGGATGCGAGACACATTGATCTTATTATACATTGTGGTTAACAGGAGGAACAAAAAGGTGTATGCCTGGACAGTTGACGATGAGGAATCCATGCAAAAGGTGTTGTTTGATCATGTTGATGCTATTGTTACGAGCAACCCAACTTTTCTTCAACGCCTAATGCAAGATATCAGAACACAATGTCTTGAAGAAGGTTATTCATAACTACACTAAAATTTGTTTCTAGAACGTAACATTTTAGAGAGGCCTTTTATGTTGTGTTTGTTAGAACACTTGTATACCGTGTGATCTCCATCCTTCTCTCTTGGATGCAAATTGATTTTGAGGGTGCAGAAAAACGGAGTATTATCATGCAGGATTAGACCCCTTGCCTTTGGGATTTACAACGGGTTTTATGTAATCCAATTATCATTTCGGTCTTAAATATTGATCATATTCGTGAGGAAATTGCTGGTTGCGTTACCTGGAAACTGCTACCTCTGTTCCTTTTTCTTTTACACTTCTGTATTTTTCTTTTTTTGGCTTTCTTAATGTGTCCATAGACACGTAATAAAAATTTATATGTAGTATTTTTTTTTAATAGAAACAAGATATCACAATTTAATATAATACAAACATTAAATATCACAATTTTAAATAAAAGTTTATTATTATTTTATTTCTTTTTTAGCATGTTTCATTGAATTCATATTAGAAAAGTTTATTTATTTTAATCAATTTTTATTTTTATTTTGTAAAATCAACGAGCAATTTTTTTTTTTTTACAATATTATGTTAAAATGAATATTTATTCTTTCAGAAATTTTTAGTGGTTCTTTTTATGAAGTATGACAAATGTTAGTCAGTGTCTTAAGGGAGTGTAGTTGTTAAGGAATTAAATTTTTTTTGTTAAAAAACATAATAAATATACCTTCTCTTGTGATTTTTAATGTGTTTCAATATAATTTTTAATAAAAATATACTATTTCAAATTTTTTAACTAATACTCTAGAGGCACTAGTTAGCAATATCCATAATTTTTAATAAATTTTAATTTATAAATAAATGTGTGTTAAATAAGTGTTATTATTTCATCAAAAAATAAAAATAAAAATAATGTGTTATTAGTATTTCTTTATAATTTCTATGAAACATTCGTTATCTTATTTTTCATTTGCCTTTAAAATATGAAGTTGATAAAAACTTAAATTAAAACTAAGAAGGATAAAAGTTCATTGTGGGTTTAAGTTTAAAGGTATTAAGTGAAGATAAAATTGTTATGTTATAATAATTTTTAAAAAACTCAAGAAATTTAATTAACTTTAATTACTTTTTAGTTAAAGATGTCTTATAAAATGACCAAATATAGTATAATAGATAAAAGGTTTAATAGAAAGTGAAGTAATATTTTAATAAAATATTTGGAATATTAATTATTTTTTAATTTTAGTGTAAGATTTTAAATATAAAAAAAACAGTGAGTATTAATTTATCTAATTACTGTGATATTTCTACTATATTGGTGCGTGAGTTTTTAAAAAATGTAAAAACACTTCAAATGCAGTTTGGAGTTATAAAAATGTCATTATAAAGGTCCACATTTTATGGTCTAAGTTATGAGCTTTTGTATTATAGGATATAAAATCAAGGGCTCAAATTTTGGATTGAAAGAAGATGGATCCAACATAGATGGTGAAAATCCTTATGGACCTTTATATTGACTATTTAGTTTTAACTATTTTTCAATGACTTAAATCTTAGATGCACGAGGGATTGATGGAGAGAAAATGGACAGAGAGATCTAAATCCCATGCAAAAATCGATAAATTTGTTAGTGTTTTTCTATTCAATCTATAAATAACTTTTATTTTTTAAAAATTTTTCTCATTTAATTTCTAGTTTAGGTTAAGGTGAGTTAGTTATTAGTCATGATTGAGTGAATTTATAGATAAGTCTCTATAATAGAAGAAAAATAATATAAAAATAATAATTTTTTAAAAAAGTTAAAAATAAATTCTCTTTTCAAGTTTTAAAGAAGTTAAATAAGAATAACTTATAAAAAATAGAGAAGTAAAAATTAATTTTAATTTATAGAAGAAGTTTTATTGATTTTTTAAGTTGTTATTCTTCTCTTACAAAGATCAAAGACTTGTCCATAAACTTAATCAAATAGAGCCTAAATAGTGCATGAGTAGTTAGCATGTTATTGCTGTTAGATATATTTAAAATTAAATTAACAGTTTAAATCTTTTATTTTTACCTAATAATACTAATTTTTATAAATTTATTATTTAGCTCTTTATTAAAATTTTGAAAAAAAAAAGTTTTTGAACATTTAGAATTGTTAATTTAGATCTTAATAAAATTGTATTGATAAAATGTTTAATGTTATTTTAAATTTTCTCTACATCAATTTTATATGTAGTTGATGATTTTAAAATTAAAACTTTTTATATGTACTCTTGTAATTTTAATTCATCATAAAAAGTAACTTATGTTTTAATATACTATTTAATATCATTTTAGATCTTCACTTAAATACTATTTATATAAGTGTGTGTAATACTTTTGTTTACATTTATTATTATAGAGAAAATTTTTATTTTAAACAATATTTAATTATTATTTTTAAAGTAATTACTAAATTTTTTAATTTATTCTTATTAGAAGATTTAATATCTTTTAATAATTAGAAGGATTTATAAAAGTAAAACATAGAAATAAGAATTATTAATAAATAAATAATAATTATATATTATATTGAACTTTTTAAAAAATAAATAAAATTACATTTTTAAATAACAAAGAAAAAAGAATAAACTGAGGGAGTAAAAAGGACATATCTCCTTCGGTTCCATTACTTTTTACTCTAGTAATTGTTGATATTAGGAAGAACCGTAGGACATGTTATTACCACAATCATATCTAATTATTGATATATTATATCATTAAATATTTTGTTTTTCCTTTTGTAAAGTTGTAGGGTGCCATCTTTGAAGAGTTGCACCTTTATTTATAGTTCAAGCATTTAACACAGTAATATGCACCTTTGGTCATATCAAGATGTGTTCTATAATTGACAATCATTAATGTTGGTAATCGAAGTTGGATTTATAACTGGAAGAAGGCTCTTTTTCATTTTGACAATGTTTGAATTGTGACAAATATTTACAAGGTACGAATAAGTAAATAAATTTAAAAAGTTGGAGTTATGTCACACATTACAAAATATTTAGCTCAATTTTGACATAACTATTGTTTATGAAATAGTCAATCACAAAGCTGGAAAAAATAATTCACCTCTTCTTGCTTTCGATGGTCATGAATTCTTTATTGAGGATTGATTCACTTATCTACTAAATTTATTTCAATTGAAGACAGTGAAATTAATAAAACTGTTGTAACCACAAATAAACAGGTCAACATGCCATGCTTGACAATAACTCATTTTTTACTAAATAAAAATTACACTTGTATGTATATCCCATAAAATTGATCGAGCTTAGTTAATATATTATTAAAATTTGTATCTAAAGAATATTATTTAAAAAATGATAATGAAAAAGAGAAAGAAACAAAGTATAAATAAAGTTTCAAAATTAAATTTCAATATTCTTTTAGCAAAAGTTGTTTTACGTGTGAGATGCGTGTCTTTTTTAATCATAGCTTAAACATGATACTAAAACTTTGTTTTGAAGTTATTTTTTGGAGAAAAAATGAAGGAATGACTGTTGATGATAATTTTTATTTGAGTTTTCAGATGAGAAGAGATTTTATAAGCATTCTAAAACCCTCATAAATCCATATTTTTAAGTTCTCCAAATTTGAAAGATTTTTATTAATCTTCTTTCATTTTTCTTTCTCCTCTCTTTTCTAAATAAAGCCTTAGTTAGGAAAGGGAGGGAAGTACTGTTAAGATTACATGGATTACAAACTGATTTTTAAATGATTCCTAACATATTTCATTATTAAAGATGGATTTATAAATAGGTTAGACTCGTTTATACTTTTCTCATCGATAAATTAATACAGACAGATTGTCAAATCCGTTTGTAAATTATAGATGAAAAGATATGTCTGAAATGATAATAAAAAATATAAATGATTCAAATATTCAACTTGTAACTTAATAATACAAGTATTCATATCATTTAATCTTGTTTAAAAATTTGCATATTACTATTTGGGCCTTCAAAACCTGATATTTTATATCTTTAAAATTTATTATCTTTTCCAAGCAGTATCACTTGTATATATCCTGTATCTAGGAAGTGATTTTAAGAAAGTATGCATTTACATGCACTGGTCCAATTTTAATTTATAATAAAAAATAACTTTTAAATTAATAGAATGTTGAATGTTATTTTAAATCTTCAAGATTCTCCACAAATCTTATTTATGAAGTTAATGATTTTAAGAATTAAATCTTTCACATCTTTTGTATTAATAAATTGTTCAATGCTCTTTTAAAGCTTTCCAATGCCCCCCCTACACAACGGTCACTTCTGCATTGCATAATTTATGTAATTTTTGCTTAAGTCATTTTTTGCTAGCTTAAACAAAAAATACAAGAGAAAAATGGCTCACTGGGATTATTTTGCTTAAGCCACACAAGATATTATAATTTTCGCTTAAGTGAATAATATTTGGTTTAAACTTAATTATATTGGCTTAAGCAAATTTTGATGAAATTTTTAGGTTCATCACTGTCCATAATTCACTTAAGCTAATTTTTGTTGACCTAAGTGATTTTCAATGAAATTTGTTAGTTAATCACTATCTGTAATTCGCTTAAGTGAATAATGTGTGACTTAAGCAAAAATTACAGCAGATAAATTTCTTACACTTTTTATCCTTCAACCACATCTTTCTAGTCATTACTCTCTATTCTGATTGCACCAAAGTGTTAATTTATAAGATAATTGAGATAAGTATATGATATTTTTAAATTTAATTCGTTCCATTTATAAAGATCACAATTCAAAGTATGACAATGCAAATAGGGTATGGTTATTAAAGTTTAGGGTATAATTAGGAAACAAGTTTGCATGCCATTAAGGAAGATTTGAAGTAGGATAAGTAGAAATTGAACAAAAATTTCACGACAATATTGCAAGCGAGGATTATTTGCTTCCATTTGATCTTTTACATTGAATATCTCTTTTCAAACTTTTTATCACTTAAATTTTAATTATAGTCACTCTATCTATCGTCAAACTAGTTGTAAAAATATAAAAAAATTCTTGAACTTGCTTCAGAAACAAAGATAAGAGTAAGTTTGAAAGAATAGGATTGAGTTTTAATTGAATAAACAATTATGTTCTATAAAGATAGTTACCTTCAAAAAATATATTTTAAAGAACTTATTTTAAATATCTAAGAGATTGAGATCTTGAATCTGCAAAATTTATAAAAATAAAATTATAAATATTATAACTTTTAAAACATGTTATAAGAGATAATTTTATTTATTTATTTATGAGTC